GTGCTTTTCTGGCAAGCACAAGGGCCTGAGTTCAATCCCGGGTTCTGCCAAAAAATAATTAATTAATTAATTAATTAATTAATGAAGGTATCATAATCAAGAGTTGGGGGGGCTGGAAAGATGGCTCAGTGGTCTAAAGCACCTAATTAAAACAAGCTTAGCAAAGCACAGGGACCACGGTTCAATCCCCCAGCACCACATGCCAGCCAGCCAGCCCTGCCCCCTGGTGGGCTGAGCTGGATACACACACACACACACACACACACATAAATAAAATTTTTAAAAAAAAGAGTTTTAGCGGGGGCAGATAGTCTCATTGCCTAACTTGTATTGTGGACAGGCTGTTTGGCACAGAAAAACTAGGCATTTGACTGTGAGGTCAAAGAAGCCTAAGGGACCTCTAAGGACAGACTTAAGACAGCCTAGGACAAAAGAATAGTTTTGAGAGGGTATTGAAGGTATTTTTGTCCTCCCCTCTAAACAAGTTGGACAGTGAGAGGTTTGTCTTTTAAGATGGATTGAATGAGTGATGAGGGAATACTCACAGTTTTTGGTTTTTAGGTCAGCAAGAGAGGTCCAAGGCTCGTGGCCTGCTCTGAAGAGCTGGTGGTGGACCAGGGCAAGGCCCTGGTTGGGGGGGACTGGCAGATGCCTTGGCATCCCTTCTGGGTTTTCAGCACCAAGTGTTAGGTATGAACCCATGCAATCAACCAGACCAGGCATTCTGACATGAGTAGATTTATTGGGGGCATCAAGCGAGCTGGCTGTCTAGCAGACCAAGACAGCAGTGAACAAAGGGAGGGACAGAAGGTTTTATAGGATCTTTTAGAGAGGGTGATTATGGGCTGGAACAGCTGAGGGAGAGCTAATCTTGGCAGGGCTACCTGGTCTGTGGGGGATTTCTAATGTTAACAAAGAAGAGTTTTGTGGTTGCTTGCCCAGGTCAAAGTCAGGTGAACCTGTTCTGCAGTTTTGGGTTGGGCTCTGCATGGGGCCAAGGGGGAGAGCGCTTAGGGGCAACTTGCCTGGGGAACCAAGGGGGAGAGTGTTTGGAACAAGGTGCCTAGGAAACTTGAAATCCTGACTTATCACTTTTGACAACTAGGATGTCTTTCTTGTCATGCAGGACATAGGTGTGGAGCCAAGGTAGGAGAGTTTTAACCCCTTATGGCAATTAAGTTGAAGTAAGTTGTCCTTTTGTCTCAAGATTTTTCCTGTTGAAGGGGCTTTTTTGAGCAACTTGCAAGCAGAAAGCATCTTTTCTGCATTGTTGATAGCATGGAGATCTTGCCCACTGTGCTTGACAGTCTATCAGGCTGATGTGTGGCTGGATGCCTGTTTTCACTTTCTGTGACATCTGACAGCAATGAGATCATGGTGAGGTGGCATGGTTGATGAGCAGGATGAAGTGAGTCTTTATACCTCTGACACGAGTCTTCAGAACTTCAGGACTGTGATTATCTGTCTCAGACTGATGCAGGTGTGATTTTCCTCTAAGAGAACAGTCAAATTTGAATGTTCAAGGCTAAATGAGAGCAAGGCTGACTGGTGTGGAGTAAAGGAGATGTCCTGCCAGCTGCAAATTTGTGCCTGGCAGAAGGGGTGAGAGGCAGGAATCCCAGCTGCCCCAGTGATGACAACTTTTTGACAGGGAAATTTTGAAGGCAGAGAATTCTGTTCCATGGTTTACTAGGAAAGTCACAGCTTTGCCCTTGACTTTTGCAATGATGATGGGCTCTCAGGAACCCAATTTAATAAAGCTCAATCTGTCAGGCACCACAGGGTGCAACTCATTTAGCAGGGCTGACAATCTGATTTTTCCTCAATCAAAATGTGAATTAGATGTTGCCATCTGACCAGGCTCTGGAGGAAGGGCATCTGTGGCTAGCTGGAAATGGCTAGTTGGAGCCAGTTCAATTGGCTGGAAGTAGACAAATCAGGAGTGGGGAGTGAAGCTATAGGTGTTGCCAGCAACTTTGGCAGCTGATGATGGTGCCAAGGTACAAATCTCAGGAAGAATGGGCCTTCTTTTTTTTTCCCTTCGAGATGAAAAGAGCAGTTTGGGTTCATTTTTAACTCTGTAAAAGCCCTTTTTAGGCCAGGAGTATAGCTCATTGGTACAAGTACTTGCCTGGCAAGTGTAAGGTCCCAAGTTCAATTTTTCATACCAAAAAAAGCTTTTTTTTTCCTGCAGTTGGAGACTGGATTTTAACTAATTAGTTCCCATTGTATCTTCCCACACAGACAAAAGGTGGATGCCTGTCAAAGAGAGACTATTGAGATGCCAGTCTTATTGGAATCTGGCAGATAGGCAAGCAGATGCAGACAGATTGCATCCTCCTCCCCTTGGGGTTCTATGTGAACAACCGAAGTAGAGAGCCAGGAATCGTCCTCCAGATCTCCAAGGGGGCTTGAGAAATCTCAAGGGTGTACCCCACCATTGGGACCTCGAGAAGTCCTGCTCCATCCTCAAGGGCCACAACTGGTGGTCAACACTGCTGGTCTTCCCAGCCAACATGCCAGATGCAATGACAAACAGAAACACCAAATGACACCCAGGATTTGCAGGCAGATTTATTTTACAATGATGGCACTGATCAAGATCATTCCAAAGTATCTGGCCCTGATTGCTGGATTAGCAGGCAGGAAGTATACAGGTGGAATGGCTTGCCAATCAGGGATTGGTTTACACAGTATGCATACAGTGATGAGCTATGCAACAAAAATCAAACAAGAGGTGGCCAGGGAGATAGCTCAGTAGAATAAGCGCTTGCTTGGCATTACAAGGGCCTGAGTTCAATCCCCGGTTCCTCAAAAAAAAAAAAAAAAAAAAAACAAAAAACAAAAAACAAAAAAAAATCAAACAAGAAAAATCGAACAACAACAACAAAAAATCGAACAACAACAACAAAAATCGAACAAGAATTAAGATCTAACTTATATTCACTTTCCAGGAATTTTTTCAAGGTTACATTGTACAAAACTTTAGTCATTACAATAATACAGTTATCTGTTTCTGTCTGTCTGTCTGTCTGTCTATCCCTCCCTAGGGATTGACCCCAGGCCTTTTGCACTGAGCTAAATCCCCAGCCGTTTTTATTTTTAAATTTTGAGACAGGGTCTTGCCAAGCTGCTAAGCTGTCTAGGCTAGACTAGAGTTAGGGATCTTTCAGCTTTGATCTTCTAAATACTCAGGCATTGCACCACCACACTCAGCTTTTTCAATCCTTTTTTTCTTTAAACCAGGGATTGAACTCAGGACCTTGGGCTTGCCAGGCAGGCGCCTATGTCACTGAGCTATACCCCAGCTCTCTGTTTTGTAAGTGTCTGTCTTCCTTTGGTATAGTTTTAATTAAAACATTTGCACTATAAAGAGGCACAAACTTAATTTATAATAGTGTGTTAAAAGGAAGGGCAGGGCTGGGGAGATAGCTTAGTGGAATAAGTGCTTGGCTGGCAAGTGCAAAGTCCTGACTTCGATCCCTGGTACAAAAAAAAAAAGGCGGGGGGAGGGGAGGGAGGGCATAATCCTGCTCTACCATTTCATTATCACACTGGACCTTGAATGTCAATTTTATCATGCCCATCACCTGACTTATCTGCGGTAGTTGAAAGATTTTCAATAAAGATAGAGGGGCCAGGAGTGGTGCACCAGTGGTGGTGCATACCTGGAACCTCCACCCCTTGGAGAACTAAGTCAGGAGGATCCAGCAAGTTCCAGCCAGCCTGGACAAGATAGGGAGTTCAAAGCCAGCCTAAACTACACAGCCTGAACTACCTTGTCTCAAAAACAAAATACGAAAACTCAAAAAAGCCAAAAAACAAAACAAAAACAATAAAACAAAACCGTAAGGACGAGAGGAAGGCTTTTTAAAAAGATGTATGCCATGTGCCTAGGGCAAGGCTGAACTGTAATATCAATTACTCCAGAAATTGAGGCAAGAGGATTGAAAATTTAAGGTCAGCCACACAATTTGAAATTTAGGAAAAGATGAAGAATGTGGAGGGCAGGGGCTCGTGGGCCCTAGGTCCACCCAGGAGCAGGGCGCGGGGCAGGTGTGGGGTAACGTGCGCGGGATGCACGAGCCGGGAAGGCTGGCCCCTCCTGACCAGGGGCTCCTTCTCCTTTTCCGGCCAGCGGCACCGCCGCAGGTTCTCCTCAGCCGCGACCTACCCTCTGCCGGACCCTGCGCCAAATCCAGCCTCCTTTGTCTTCTGGTCGCGGGCAGTCGTTTTCCGGAGCGCCGGCTGGATCTCGGGACCCGCCTACCGCGCTCGGTCAGGTCCTTTGCCCCAAGGACTTTGTCCTTCCTCCAGCAGCTCGTCGCCGCGGCGCTCGCGTCAGCTGGACGGTCCCGCGGAGCCCCGCGGCGGCATTCCCTCGGCAGGGTCACGCGAGCTGCCCCGCGGCCGGCGGCGAGGCAGGCAGCCCGCGGAGAGCCGGCGCGGCCGCCTCAGGGCGGAACTGACGAGCGCAGC